AAGGGGCCTCAGGGATCGGACCACCCGAACCTCGGGCCCATTTGCCTTTGGACGCGGGCTGACGCGGCCATTAGGTATGGATGTGTGGTTTGCATGGGATCAGTACCGTTGTGTGTTTCAGCCTAGTGTGAATGCACATACTGGGAAGGAATGACTCAATAGTCAGCATAGTGCTTGTGTTCGGGGCATCAGCAACCCGACCATCCAAAGCCCAAGCCCATTTATCTTCGGATGCATGTCGACGCGGCCGATAGGTGTCGAAGTGTGGTTCGCGTGATACCAGTACCGATTTGTGTTTCATCCTAGTGTGGATGCACATACCGGAATGGAATGACCCAATGGTCAATGTAGTGCTTGTTTCGAGGGAATCGCGCACCCGGCCATCCGAAGCCCGGGCCCATTGGCCTTCAGACTCAACCAGACGCAGCCGATAGGTGTGGAAGTGTGGTTTGCATTATAGCAGTATTGATGTATGTTTCATCCTAGTGTGGATGCACATACCAGAATGGAATGACCCAATGATCAGCGTAGTGCTTGTGTCGGGGGCCTCGGGCACCCGACCATCCAAAAGCCGGTGCCATTTGCCTTTGGATGTTGGCAGACGAGGCTGATAGATGTTGAATTTTGGTTTGCATGGCAGCAATATTGTCATGTGTTTCAACCTAGTGTAGTCCATACTTGGTGGATTATTTTTTGCACATACTGGAATGGAATGACCCAATGATTAGCGTAGTTCTTGTGTCGGGGGCCTCGGGCACCCGACCATCTGAAGCCTGGGCCCATTTGTCTTCGGACACGCGTGGACGCGGCCGATAGGTGTGAAAGTGTGGTTTGGATGATACCAATACCGATTTGTGTTTCATCCGAGTGTCGATGCACATACCAGAATGGAATGACCAAATGGTTAGTGTAGTGCTTGTGTCGAGGGTGTCAGCCACTGGCCATCCGAAGTCCGAGTCCATTTGCCTTCGAACGCGGATAGATGCGGCTGATAGGTGTGGAATTGTGGTTTGCTTGGCAATAGTTTGTTGTATGTTTCGACCTAGTGTGGATGCAAATACCAGAATGGAATGACCGAATGGTCAGCGTAGTGCTTGTGTCGGGGGCGTCGTCCACCCGATCATCTGAAGCCCGGGCCCATTTACATTCGAGCGTGGCGGATAGGTGTCAAAGTGTAGTTTGCTTGACATCAGTATTGTTGTGTGTTTCATCGTAGTGTAGTCTACACTTGGTGGACTATTTTTTGCACATATTGGAATGGAATGACCTAATGATCAGCGTAGTGTTTGTGTCGGGGGCCTCGGGCACCCGACCATCTGAATCCCAGGCCCATTTTCCTTCAAACGCGGTCGGACACGACCGATAGGTGTGTGGAAGTGTGGTTTGCAACGGTATTGTTGTGTGTTTCAGCCTAGTGTAGTCCACACTTGGTTGACTATTTTCTGCACATAGTAGAATGGAATGACCTAATGGTCAGTGTAGTGCTTGTGTTGGGGGTCTCGAGCACCCAACCATCCGAAACCCGGGCCCATTTGCCTTTGGACGCGGGTAGACGCGGCTGATAAGTGTCAAAGTGTGGTTTGCATGGTAGCAGTATTGTTGTGTGTTTTAGCCAAGTGTGGATACACATACCAGAATGGAATGACCTAATGATCAATGTACTGCTTGTGTCAAGGGTGTCGGCCACTGGCCATCTAAATCCCGGGCCCATTAGCCTTTAGACCCAGGCGGACGAGGCTGATAGGTGTGGAAGTGTGGTTTGCATTATAACAATATTGTTGTGTGTTTCATCCTAGTGTGGATTAACATATCGGAATGGAATTACCCAATGGTCAGCACATTGTTGGGGGAGTCGACCACCCGGCCATCTAAAGCCTAGGCCCATTTGCCTTAGGACGTTCTCGGACGTGGCCGATAGGTGTCGAAGTGTGGTTTGCATGACATTAGTATTTTTGTGTGTTTCAGCCTAGTGTAATCCACACTTGGTGGACTATTTTTTGCACATATAGAATTAAATGACCCAATGGTCTGCCTAGTGCTTGTGTCAGGGGCCTCGGGCACCCGACCATTAGAAGCCTGGGCCCAATTGCCTTTGGATGCGGTCGGCCACCCGGCTCGGGTTTTGGATGGCCAGGTGGCCGACGCCCTCGACACAAGCACTGCGTTGACCATTGGGTCATTCCGTTCTGGTATGTGCATCCACAATAGGATGAAACATAAATCGATACTGGTATAACGCAAACCACACTTCAACACCTATCTGATGCGTCCACCAGCGTCCGAAGGCAAATGGGCCTAGGCTTCGGATGGCCAGGTGCCCGAGGCCCCCGACACATGCACTACGCTGACCACTGGGTCATTCCATTCTGGTATGTGCAAAAAATAATCCACCATGTGTGGACTATACTAGCCTGAAACGCACAACAATACTGTTGTAATGCAAACCACACTTCCACACCTATCGGCCAAGTCCACCCGCGTCCGAAGACGAATGGGCCCGGGCTTCGGATGGCCGGGTGCCCGAGGCCCCGGACATAGGCACTACTACACTGACCATTGGGTCATTCCATTCTGGTATGTGCATCCACACTAGGATGAAACACAAATCGGTATTAGTGTCACACAAACCACACTTTGACACCTATCGACCGCGTCCGCGCACGTCCGAAGACAAATGGACTCGGGCTATGGATTGCCTGGTGCCCGAGGCCCCTGACACAAGCACTATACTGGCAATTGGCTCATTCCACCTTAGTATGTGCATCCACACTAAGCTGAAACACACAACGGTATTGATCCCATGCAAACCACACGTCCACAACTAATGGATGCGTCGGATTGCGTCTAAAGGAAAATGGGCCCAGGGTTCGGGTGGTCCGACCTTGAGGCCCCCCAACACATGCTCTATAATGACCATTGGTTGATTCCATCTTAGTGTGTGCACAAAATAATTCACCAAATGTGCACTACACTAGGTTGAAACACACAACAATACTGATCCCATGCAAACCACCCATCCACACCTATCGGCCGCGTCTGTCCACGTCCGAAGGCATATGGGCCTGGGCTTCGAATGGCCGGGTGGCTGAGGCCCCTGACCCAAGCACTATAATGACCACTAGGTCATTTCATCTTGTTAAGTGCACAAAATAATCCACTAAATGTGGACTACACTAAGCTAAAAAACACAACAATACTAAACCATGCTTCCACACCTATCGGTCGCGTCCGCCCGCATCCGACGGAAAATGGGCCCGGGGTTCACATGGTCAGGACCCCAAGGACTCCGGCACATGCACTATAAGGAACGTTAGGCCAGAGCATCTCGACATGTGCACAAAATAATTCATCTGATGTGAACCACACTAGGCTGAAACACACAACAATATTGTTGTCATGCAAACCATAATTCCAAACCTATCAGACGCGTCCACCCACGTCTGAAGGTCATTGAGGCCGGATATAGGTTGATCCAGTACGTAAGACCTACGGCACATGCACTATAATGAACATTGAGTCAATCCGTCTCGGTACATGCATAGAGCAATCCACAAAGGCGGACTACACTAGGCTTGTAAATTCTTAAAAACAATCGAATTATTGTGTCCTCCGTAATCAAGTTGAAGGGGAGATTCACCAGGTAATGCCAAAGATTGTTTGTGATCTTTTGTGGTGTTGGGAACTTAAGGAACAGTCTAATGTCACAACAAGAGTGTATGGTCTTCCACCCAGATGCGGTGTTAAGTACAATTTGTGCTGAAATGAATAACATAATTTTACAAAACAAAAATAGTGAAGTGGATCAACTTAGTGCCTATATGTTTGGAAGGCTAATGTCTTGGAATGTTGATGTGAAAGGACGTCGACCAAGTTGGGAACTATTATCAAACTAATAGGTGTATTGTACAAAGTTACCCTTATCAGAAATTTCCCAATGATAAAGTTGTTCAAGCACTTCAACATAAAATGCAATAAGAATATGCCATATTTCCCTACTCATGCAAATGGATTTTTTTTTTTTTTTTGTATAGGAGCAATATTGTTGGTTTCAAAATACGGTGACATCTCTTTTGTTTATGTGAATAGAAAGTTTAACACTTCAGTGTGGAGGTATCCCAACTAGATAAATTCCATTGTCTACCATATTTTATTTTTGATCACTATGGGAAACCAAAAATGGAAGAATATGTTTTGTTGGCTTGAGTTCTAATATAAAGCACCTTAAAAAAACAAAAACACTTAAACGAGAATGTTTATGAAGTTTACACGGTTGACATCCTTATTCCTTGTAAAGCTGCTCAAATTTCTGTCTACCTAATGCTTTGCACTTCAGTTGCAATTATATTCAGTTTAATGGGCGGACATGTGTAGAGCGGCTTAGAAGCTCTTTTGGCAACATCACATTGGTTTCATTGTTTCTCTGACTGTTAACAATGCTCCTCCATCAACCCATACTTATTGAAGCATAAATGATTAACCCTCAAACTTGGACTGCTCATTGGAATTTATTACAGGTCGAAAGTATTCCAACATCTGTCTACTCTCCATCATCTTCCCTCCTTCTGGGCAAATCAGTAATTGATGATTGGATATATTCCATATTGATTAGGTTTTTGATGAAGATGCTAATAAAAAAGAAGAAGATCAATTTATGGTTATGCTTTGCAAAGTGGGGATATGATAAACTGATAGGAGTTGGGGAGAGAGAAATACACACCAAGAAAAAAAATGCATAGTAAATGCTTCTATACCATCTGCATCAAGCTTTCATGGGATGCAAAGACTTTTGGTTATTAATGTCTCTGATCAATTACTCGTTGTCCTAGACCAACAAATACACCGATGGATGAGATCAAATAAAGGAAATGGATCACATGAACTATATAATAAGAATATGTGAACTGACGATAAACAAGATATATAATGAGTAGCATTCCCGCACCTGATGTATGGGTATTCTACCTTAGTTTACCCTGAAGTAGTTGAACACCGATCTCCCATCGATTTAATCCAATTGTGTCATAGATTTGAAAGCACACGAAATGTGCATGAGTTTGGATTAATGGAAAACAAAAACATTAGATCGTATACATAATAATGATTATATGCACCGATGAGAAATCAAACGTCTTCGACATAGACAGACAATCAATATACTTGATAACAAAAACACTATAATCGTCTCCACCTTCCTGGTAGGTTCATAAGGCCACCCACCAACGCCACTAATAATATCGCTGAGAATTGTCTTGTAAATTTGATGCTATGTTGCGATAAAAAAATAAAATAAAGAAAAAACACTGTTAAGATACCAATTTAGAGATGCAACATCACAAGACTTATCTAACGTTGAGGATGCATACCATTTTGTCTGTAAACGCCTTGTAGACCGTCCCATGGATAGAGCTATACGAGAGAAACCTCTTCTGTATCAGATCAATGACAAGTAGTTGCTAGTGATATTGATCATTAATGGGCATGAAGATTTTCTGCACGCGCTTCTTTGCACATGGTTCTAACCATGGTTTCAGCTTCCCGAGCATCCCATTCGTTGCAAATCCCTAAATAGAGGAAACCAAAAAATGATAGGAATCAAGTCAATTAAATAAGATTATTTCATGCAAGTAGTGTTGCATTTGCAAAAAGGGTATTTCACCTGAGACACTGCAGGCACGTACAAAACTTTCACGGAATTGTGACTCCATGCCTACAATAGGTTGTCGTACACATCTATAACCTACACACGATAATGGTAATGTATAAACAAACAATCAATAACCAATTACAAATGCATAATTCAGAAAAATGGTGATTACCTCATCAGATAACCAACCATTCATCTTAAAAGGGAGAGGAGGTTTGCTTCACTTAATAAACAATTTTCGTTCTTAAGCACATACGCGTCCCTACAAAAAAAAAAATACAAAAGGATGTTCAACATTCTTACAAAGGATGGTCAGTGGACTCGGTGCATGAATGTTGTTATGTTATGTGAACCAATAAAACATTCTTACTTCCGAATCTCCTTGTGCAAGAAATTATGCACCAATTACAAATCATTTGCCGCCATTCTGTCTTTTTGAGCAAATGCTACCCATGTTGATGGCCCACCTTCCACCACCTATGAGAATGCAGAAGATCATGAGTAACCAATAAATATTTAAGGTTGAATGAAACATACATTACATAGTTACGTCATAATCCATACCAACTCATTGGTACGAGCTGCAATGGCAAATTTCTTAGCCACCTTGCCAATATCACCAGGGGGCCAGAAAGGGGAAACAACAACACTACTAGGAAAGCGTTCACGCTTTCCCACATTGTGCCCCCTTCTATAAACATTCTTCACCCATGACCGAGGTGAAACTATCTCACACGAAGGAGGAATGCTATCTATAGTATCAGGTGAGGTAAAGGAATCATCCTCCAGTATTGATGCCTCTCTGACATGCACATTTTTACCAGGTACAGCTGGAGATGTGTGCACAGGCAAGCCATTAGGATTGATGCCACTTGCTATCAATGTCCCACGTAGTCATTCAACCTCTGCCCGTAGTTGACCAACTTCAGCTTCATAATAATCTGCTCGCGATGCTTTCAAACTAAGCTACTCAAACTCAATCGATTCGACACAGCGTGCACACACACCTTACATCATCAAGATCACAACATCACAGCACCGACTTAGACATTTAAAGCAAAAATACTAATTTCAAACAAAATCCTATTAAATTCCACGTACCACGTCCTGGAACGATATGAAATAGTGTTGGCACTGTGCCCTGAGATTCGCTCATCTTTGGCAGGCACAACAACAATGAGTGGGGCCTACATTCCAACATATTTAGTAATATTTAATATCAATGAAAATGTGAATTATATAATCAAAATGAATGATGCATACTTACACGGTTGTATGAATCACAAAATGAAGTTTGCATCTCTCCATCGTCGTCGTCAGGTAATGTCAGGGCACTAGCAAGTAGATCCAACTCATAATCAGCTGGGGATAGGGTATCAAAAACCTACAAATATAAGTTGTTGAAAAGTTAAGTGGTAGTTTTGTAACTTTCCTTTATGTTTTTGTCTTTTATATTAGGTGGGTTGTCTTTGGGAGTTGGAATCTGAGGGGTCCCTTTCTAATATCTTGGAATGCCCCTTGGAGGAGGAAGCTGGTTTCGGAATATGTTAATGGAGAAAAAAATCAAATGTATTCTGATTAAATGGCTGTAGCAAGAGATCTTGACTTATAAAAGGAGATTCGACTAATTCAATTAGGTGGCTAGCACTGATCATGGCAATGGGCCATGGGCTGTATCACACTTTTTGATTGGAGCAAAGGATCTCCTTCTCAACCTAAATGCACAGCTGCTGTTAACAGGGATGCCTTATTTAGTGATAGCTCCCTCCCTACTCTATTTATAAAGAGACTATTTTAGGATCCACCCATTCTTTGGTGGTGATATCGGTAGCCTCATTCATAGGGAGTTCAACACTGAAGCTGGTGTGGATACTTGGGGAGGTTAACACTACAACTGGTGTTCATAGGTGAGTAGATACTTAGGGAATTTAACACTAAAACCGCTGTTCACGAGGATAACTCCCTTCCTAATTTATTTATGGGGAGACTATTTTAAGATCCACCCATTCTTTGGTGGTGATATATGTACCATCCTTCTTAGGGAGTTCAACACAAAAGCTGGTGTTCACAGGTGGGGTGGATACTAAGGGAGTTTAACACTGAACCTCCTGCTCATAGGGATAACTCCCTTCCTACTTTATTTCTAGGGAGAGTGTTTTAGGATCCACCCATTCTTTGGTGATAATATTTGTACCCACCTTCTTAGGGAGTTCAACATTGAAGCTGGTGTTCATAGGTGGGGTGGATATTTAGGGAGTTTAGCACTGAATCTGTTGTTCACAGGGATGCCTTTTTTAGTGATAGTTCCCTTCCTACTTTATTTCTAGGGAGACTATTTTAGGATTCACCCATTCTTTCGATGGTAATATTTACAATCTCCTTCTTAGAGAGTTCAACACTGAAGCTGGGGTGGATACTTGGGTAGTTTAACATTGAAGATGGAGTTCACAGGTGGGGTGGATACTTAGGGAGTTTAACACTAAAGATGGAGTTCATAGGTGGGGTGGATACTTAGGGAGTTTAACACTGAAGCTGCTGGAGTTCACAGTAATAACTCTTTTCCTACTTTATTTTCTATGGAGACTATTTTAGGATCCACCCATTCTTTGGTGGTGATATTTGTAGCCTTCTTCATAGGGAGTTCAACACTGAAGCAGGTGTGGATGCTTGGGGAGGTTAACACTGCAGCTGGTGTTCACAAGTAGGGTGGATACTTAGGGAGTTTAACAATGAAGCTGCTATTCACGAGGATAACTCCTTTCATAATTTATTTATGGGGAGACTGTTTTAAGATCCATCCATTCTTTGGTGGTGATATATGTACTCTCTTTCTTAGGGAGTTCAACACAGAAACTGGTGTTCACAAGTGGGGTGGATAATAAGGGAGTTTAACACTACACTGGACTTGTTGTTCATAGGGATAACTCCCTTCCTACTTTATTTCTAGGGAGTCTGTTTTAGGATCCACCCATTCTTTGGTGGTGATATTTGTACCCTCCTTCTTAGGGGGTTCAATACAGAAGCTGGTGTTCACAGGTGCGGTGGATACTAAGGGAGTTTAACACTGAACCTGCTGTTCACAGGGATAACTCCATTCCTACTTTATTTCTAGGGAGATTGTTTTAGGATCCACCCATTATTTGTTGGTGATATTTGTACCCACCTTCTCAGGGAGTTCAACATTGAAACTGGTGTTCATAGGTGTGATGGATATTTAGGGAGTTTAACAAAACTACTGCTCACAAGGTTGCCTTATTTAGTGATTCTTTATTTCTACGGAGCATGTTTTAGGATTATTTGTAAAATTCACCCATTCGATGGGTGGTGATATCTGTAGCCTCCTTCTTAGCTCTAATGAAAGTTGCCTTTTCCTATCAAAAAAACTCCTTTATGTGACTTGAACTCTGATACATTTAGTAACAGAGCTCAAGAAGCTAATTATGAACTAAATCCAGAACTTAAAGTGGGATTTTCATATTCTTCTCTTCTTCTATTTGATTTTTACCACCACACTTCTGTTGCCCCAGCATAAATAATGTAAATAGCTAGATTATTAACAATGAATGATGTGAAGTGAGAGAATAAATCATATACTAACCATTCCAGTAGTTATTTTCCGAATTAACTCTATCCTATTGAAGTTGCCGTTGTGCCCTATTTTGCTCCACCTCATCAACTGTGGTCTAGAAATGGGTTTTGATGGTCTAAACACTATACTATGCTCAAACAACCATGGCTGCAAAAGAATTACATTCAATTAGAGATACCAATAGTAAATTATTTTCTTCCACTAAACCAGAACCAATAAATAACAATCAAGAAATTGTTGAGTCACATGTACACACCATCGTAGCAGCAAACCAACCAAATATTGTACTTGAAAAAGACCTTTGGCCATCGTTCATAGGAATGCTTGTGCAGTCAACAATGCGATTAAGGCCATGTACAATGAATTGATGCACACACCGTGCCCATGAATAGTCAGATATGTGTGCCAGATCATTGATGTAACTAGCCCACACAAGGCTCATATGAGGCCTCCCCTGTGAAAATAACATCGAACCAAATAGGTGCAAGAGAACCAACTTCACCACATTTTCAATCGACTCATTTGACTTCTCATGCACTATACTAAAGACCTTTTCTTCTACTGTACTCAAGAGCAGTTGTGAGGATGAATCATCGGTCAGTCCAAACAAACGATTAATAAACTCTGGAACCGGTAGGGAGGTATCCACGATCACAGGACGCCCAACTAACCTTAGTCCCAATATTAGCGCAATGTCCCGGTCAGTGGATGGTACATACACACCACTTAGGTTGAATGTAGTGGTTTCTGAGTCCCACTGTTGTACTATCTCCATGATAACTGCCTTGTCAAAGGTGCTTGGTGGGATGGAAAGTAACTGTCCAAATCAGGTGCCATTAAGAGTTTCGTAGTGCTCTATTCTTAACGGTAATTCTGAAATAAATTCATTGAAGCGTTTTGGTGAGCATCTGGTGCAAACTCCCTATTTTGCCATTGGTTTCAAATTGTTTACCTTCAACAAATTGTAAATATAAACAAAAAATTTGTCTTCAGAAAACAAAAAAAAAACATGCATAAATGTAAGAAACATGGAGTCAGAGTGGATGGGGTTTGAATGCGAGTGTGGTTACAGGATACTCAATGGAATGTTGGGTTGGTTGTATCAGATACAATATTTCAGACAAAAAGCAATGGTTACAGACAACTAATTTTTCCGATTTAAAGTTACAAGCGAGTAAGAGCTATTTCGTCCAGCAACAAGATATGTTAAAGCATCAACTCTTTCATCCAAGAACAAGATATTACCCATTTGTTTAACATTCAAAGACGAACTTTAAGTAGCAAGTTTGATTTAAATACCTTCTTTCACTGTAGTTCGGGGAAGAACACGAAGTTCACATTCACCTCTCCGTCTGTGCAACGAGCGAATGTTGACAAACTATCGAAAAATCCGAGATGACGACCGCCGGTGATCAGAATAAATGAAGAACTTTAGGTTCGTCGGTGGGAAGAACGAAAGTGAATAGGGACTATTTACCGAATAACTATTTGGGTAGTTGGGTTGGTTGTGTGGTAAATATGTCAGGAGAGAGAAAACGCGGGAGAAAACTTAAAGTGGGGCATTTCTGGGTCAAACAAACGTGGGTGAACGGGAAGAAAGGAAGAAGGAAGTTGGGAGGGGAGAGAAGACTAACGCCGTTGGGAGAGATAAGATTAACCGCGGTGGGATGTTATGTGTATTCCTGGGTTCTTAGTCAAACGAACGCCAGTGGCAGCCCCCACTTGCAGAAATTGTTGTCTTTTTCAAACGAAGGACGTTGGGAGGAGAGAGATTAACCGTGGCGGGATATTAAATGAGGGGCTGGGTTTTGAATGAAGGGCCGATAGTCAATTGGGTATCAGGGGTATTTCGGGTAGTTTCATAATATGACAGGACGTTGGGCTGACGTGAGTGTGGGCCAGTGGAGTTGACGGAAATATCAATTTGCAGGGTATAAAAAATCGAAATTTATAAAGGAATAGAATGCTGTTGGAGGTAAATTTTTATGCCCCTGGCTGGGCAGCAGTAATTCCCCATTCATCATCTTCTTGTCATTTGTTCATTAGAGCCACCGTCCGTCACAATCGTTCACTGCCGCCCGCTGTCGCCTCTGATCATCTCCGCCTCCGCCTCCGACAATATTGTCGAAGGTGGCCGGAGACAGAAGTGGCGGCGGCGCTGATGGTGGCTCTGATGAACAAATAACAACAAGAAGATGGACAGTATTTTTACCTTTTACCCATTTTTTAAATATATTACTTTTGTTGTATTAAACCCCAAAAATTGCCCTGCTATTACTCCAAAAATTTATCAATTTTGGTTTAATCGTCCTTTCGAATTCCACTTTCCAAGTTTCTCCATTTTCCTTCTCTCTTCTCCCTCTCCCTCGCATCGTCCGCTGCAACATCATATCACACCGCCATTGCAATCGACCCACCGTCGTTCGTTCACGGCAACAGCCTATATCTTTCTCGACCACTGCTCATTTTCCTCGCCGGAGATCACTGTAGGAGAACACTCCCTTTGCGAGCCAAGCTACCATCTTTCGTTATGGCGAGTGGACTCGGACGCGTTCACGAACATAGAGTTCAAGCTGCAACTTTCCAAGTTTCTCCATTTTCCTTCTCTCTTCTCCCTCTCCCTCATATTGTCCGTTGCAACATCATATCACACCGCCATTGCAATCGACCCACCATCGTTCGTTCACGGCAACAGCCTGTATCTTTCTCGACCACTGCTCATTTTCCTCGCCGGAGATCACTGTAGGAGAACATTGCCTTTGCGAGGCGAGTGGACTCGGACGCGTTCACGGACATGGAGTTCACGCTGCCATTGGAGAGGTACAAGGAGCACAACATGGTGCTCCACGGGTGGACGGACTTGACGGTGTGGAGAGGGTGCCCTCGCATCGCCGAAACCTGAAGCCATCGAAGTCCTTGCCGGCGAGCTTAGGGACGCAAAGAAATGGGTGTTTGCTGGCAAGACCCCGTTGCACGCTCGAAACTCCGCAGTCCGCCCAACTTTTTCTCTCACGCTCGTATAGATTCCATTTTATGAAACGAAAGATTCCATTTGATAAGAAACGTCCGTACACCTTCCAAATGTTGTAATACTAGATATAAAATATAGATATATATAAATAATAAATATATTATAGCTATATTATATAAAATAAAATAAAATATAAAATGGGGGTAGAGACAGATACAATACAGACAATGTATTTGTTATCGACATCACAACCCACACGACACGAGACTCATCCAAAACATAAAACGCTCGACGCAGTCGCAAGTCGCAACTGTGTTTCGTGCTTTATTGTATAGGTTTTGGAGTCTTGAATTATATTTGTTTTGTTGATAGTTAGGGGAATAAAAAAAAGCCAACCAGGAAACGGGGGCCGGTTTACATGCCCTAAATTCCAGTTTCCAAAGACGTCGTGTTCGTGTTGCAGTCTTGCAGACTACTTGAGAAATGTTTCTGCTCTACAGACTAAGAGAAAAACTCCAGAGATGAGCGGGAGGCAATTGGACATTCCATTTTTCAGATTTGGAAGTAGAGTCTCTTTGCATGAAGAGATCCAGGAAGTGGAAAGCAGAATTAGGAAGCGGATCAATTCATTTCCAGTCAGGCGTTCAAGCAGAATAAGGAAGCAGAACTTTGTTCCTATTTAATTTATATAACACTACTACGTATTTCTTCTGGTTGGTTTCTTCAATAGGTTGTACTTTGACCACATCTTTATGCCTCGACAGCCAATTGATTGTAATCTGAAGACTTCAATGAAATGACTTTTTAATTAGTTCTGCTGCTCCCTAAAATATCTGCTTTCGGTTTCTGGTTTAATTATTATTTATTAGTTCAATTTGCAATTTTCTTGAACAGATCTTGGTTTATCTGAAACTTCACACAACAAGAAACATTCTTTTCCTTTGATTTTTATTCTATTGGATTATGGGATTATTGATTTCAGAGTGCAAGTTTTGAAAATTTAATGAACAGTCAAGTGTATTTTTGTTTTTAGGTTTAGTTTGGGAAGAGCACAAATACAAATATGTACAGTACAAATACATGCAAAATAATACAAAATGTAAGGTTTTGCACTCTACATATTTGTATTTGTACTCCTTCCAAACTGAGCCTTAGTTTTTTCCATCTAACCTTAACGTTAAATGCTTTAGTAATGAATATTTATGTAATTCTGGAAACAGCAGGGTATATTTAAGTAGTTTATTGATATCACAGGATATATTCAAACAATTAACCCAAAAAGAAAAAAAAAAGAAAAAGTTTATGGTGGCATTAAGGATGATCAAAGTGTTGAGGCAGAGTATCATGCTACAATACATGGAGTGACTTAAATCTATTGTGGATAGAAAACTTGCTAACTGAATTGGGATGTCGATAACAAATACATTGTGGATAGAAAACTTGCTAACCCACACGACACAAGTCTAAGTTCATTTTCAATGCCCATTCCGTATGTTCTTTGAATCTCATGGCATAATACATCAATCATCCTGTTCCTTTACTCCACAACAAAATGGAGTAGCTGAGCGGAAGAATATACATTTACTTGACACTGCTCGGGCACTTTTGATTCAAATGTTAGTTCCAAAAAAATATTGGAGTGATGCTGTTTTTACTTCTTGCTTTCTCATTAATCGTATGCCATCTTCCGTGTTAAGTGGCTCATCTTCTTTTTCTATTGTCTTTCTTTCTCAATCTCCATTCCCTTTGCCTCCGCGTGTCTTTGGTTGCGTTTGTTTTGTTCATCACTTGGGGCAGGTGTTGGATAAGTTGGACGCTCATGCTCTTAAATGTGTCTTTCTAGGGTACTCTCGGACCCAGAAAGGATATAAGTGCTACAGTCCTTCCCTTCGGCGCTCCTTTGTTATTCCTGATGTGACTTTCTTTGAAAATGTTAATTTTTTTCCCTCACCTGAAGGTCCTGAACCTACTTCCCTTGATACTCTATCCCCACCTCCTCTTCCCTTACCAATAGAGGAGGTGTCTGTACCTACTCTTGCTATTCAAGAGTCAATGCGACCACCGATCCATCGAACGTATGCTCATGGCCCTCGTGGTATTGTGTTTCAGCCTTCTCTATCCCTATCTCCACCATCAACGGCTCCTCCGTCAACGAATCCATTTCATTTTGATCTTCCCATTGCGCTTCGCAAAGGTAAGTGTGCTTGTACTGAACATCCTATACCTCGTTATGTTTCATTTGCCCATTTATCTCCATCTTGTCGGAATTTTGTATCCCTTTTATCGTCTGTGTTTGTTCCTAGATCTCTTCAAGATGCTCTTCTCTCTCCAGAATGGAAAAGGGCGACGGATGAGGAATTTTATGCTCTTCAATCTAATCATACTTGAGACCTCACTTCTCTGCCTCCAGGAAAGAAAGCAGTTGGTTGTTAGTGGGTTTGCACTGTTAAGCATCTTGCTGATGGTAGTATGGAGAGATATAAAGCACACTTAGTAGCTAAAGGGTATACACAGACCTATGGTGTCGATTATACTGATATCTTTTCACCTGTGGCTAAATTGGGTTCGGTCCAAGTGCTTATTTCCCTGGCTGCACACTTTGATTAGCCGTTGTTCCAGTTGGATATTAAAAATGCATTTCTTCACGGTGACCTAGAGGAGGAGGTGTATATGGAGCAACCTCTAGGGTATGTTGCTTAGGGGGAGGAAGGTAAGGTGTGTCGGTTGAAGAAAGCAATTTCCGAGGGCCTGGTTTGGGAGATTCAGTAGTGTAGTACAACAGTTTGGGATGACACAATGTAGGGTTGATCATTCAGTGTTCAGTAGAGACACCTACCTCTCGGAAGATTGTGTTAGCAGTCTATGTTGATGACATCATTATCATAGGAAGTGATGAGCATGGCATTGAAAAGTTCAAACGATTTTTACAAAACCAGTTCTAGACTAAGGACTTGGGGAACTTGAAATATTTTTTGGGCATAGAAGTAGCAAGGTCAAAGTTGGGAATCTCTCTCTCACAAAGGRAGTATGTGCTTGACCTGTTGGAAGAAACTGGTCTTTTAGGGGCAAAGCTAGTGGATACCCCTATAGATCCAAATGTGAAGATGTCTGATAGTGAGGGGGATTTGTAGATAGTACATGGAGTAGTTGGAAAACTGATTTATTTAACCATTACAAGACCTGACATTTCCTTCAGTGTTGGATTATTGAGCCAATTCATGTAGAACCCAAGGACAACCCATTGGGAAGGTATTGTTAGAGTTCTACGCTATTTGAAGGGGGCTCCAAGTAAAGGGTTGTTGTATAAGAAAGAGGGAGAACTTTCCTTGGAATGATACACAGATGCTGATTGGGTAGGGTCGGTTACTGACAGGAAATCAACAATTGGTTACTGCACCTTTTTGGCAGGGAATTTGATTGCTTGGAAAAGCAAGAAGCAGAATGTGGTGGCTAGGCGTAGTGGTGAGGCCGAGTACAGAGCGATGGCCCACACTACATGTGAGTTGGTATGGTTGAGACAACTATTACAAGAGATGGGAATATCAGTCACAACCCCCATGAAGCTATTTTGTGACAACCAAGCTGCCATTCATATCTCTTCCAATCCAGTGTATCATGAGAGGATCAAACACATAGAGGTGGATTGCCACTTTGTTAGAGAAAAGGTGGTCAGTGGAGAAATCATTACCCCATACGTGAAGTCTGAAGATCAACTAGCTGATTTGTTTACCAAAGACTTGAGTGGTGCTCAGATGAAATACATTCGTAACAAGTTGGAGTTGTATGATATATATGCTCTAACTTGAGGGGGAGTGTTAAAATACAGCTTTGTTTTTAGGGTTATTTTAGTCTTTTCCCTTCTTTAAATCAATGTTTTTATGTCTCTATTCTCAAGCATTTGTATACAGGGGTAATAATGTAATTTTACCTTTTATTATGAATTAATCATTCACATGGTATCAGAGCCTGGTTGATCAAGTTTCCTGACTGCATCAGTGAAGGATGCCTGCAACTCTGGTTCAACTGAGTTTTTATACCAATACGAGAAGAAAGGAAGGGGAAGAACCTAAAAGGACTGATCATCAGAAGGTTTAGAGGCTTCTATGCCTCAACCTGCATCGTTGGTCGATTGTTTGGTGGTGGTTTAGACTCCCTCTACTCGGCAGTTCTCTTCTTCGATAGAAACTGCAGAGCCCTATTCTGTTTCGACCCTTCTTCTCCTCTTCTTCTTCTTCATCCCTTCTCCTTCTAGGCTCATACCAGAAGCCTTCTTTTCATTTATTTAATTAAATACAGGCCTGATAACAATTACAATTCATAGGTATGTATAACATAATAACCCAACTTAAGGGGGAGTACTGTAGTTCTCATACCATAGGATGCAAAGCTGATGCAGGTCTAGTTTCTTTATAATGTATTTTCAATAGTCTTAGGACACTAGATAGTGGGCACCACCATACATATTTCATTCTTTGAAATCTTTCGAGTTTCTCCTCTCCTCTCCATCAATGACAGATAATACTTTGATTGGCACCTTTCAGCTCCCAGAAAAAGCATTAATAGAGACACCTCAAGCTCTGCCCTCTGGTCCTGGCTCAGCAAATTCCTAGCCCACATCAGGTGTGTTAGGGACAGTCTGCACATTTCAAATACCAGTTATTAAGGAGATCACATGGACAGTCTGCACACTTCAAAATACCATCTTTGTGTAGCTAGTTGAAATACTGTTAAACTAATGCTTCACTTAAAGCTATCCTGCTTCAAAATATTATGTTTGTAAAACCAGCCAGTTGCCAAGTGAGCTGGATTAAAATGGGAATTCTTTTTGAACAAACTAGTAAAAAGTTTCCAAAATTCTGACTTAAATATCAACAATAAACAGAAAATAAAGTAGCAAATGTAGAAGAGAATAGAGAAGAAGAGGAGTACAATTAGAATAGACGAAGGTAGAATTGTGGGAGCACCTATGCTGTCCCACTGTCTTATATAATATGTATGTATGTATGTATATACCCTGGTGAGGCAACAGTATTTAAAAAAATTAAGGCCCAGTAAAGAAGACAAAACCAAACTACTTACAAGTCCATTATGTCAACAAGAACTACACCCAGATAAAGATGGTATTATTTATATATATAAAAAAAGATAAAGATGGTATTCAGCTTACCATGGGTGGTTGGACTACCCACACTTCTGAATTGGCGAGCTTCGAACTGCCTTGATAATCTGTGAGTCTCTGAAACAAACAAAGTGCACAAGCGCTTTCCCATTTGGGTATACAGCAAAAACACTAGTCCCTATTCTTTTGTTGCAAAGAGAGCACATGCTATCACTAGAAATCATTATGAATGTTCTCCGTTGCTTATAAAGTTCTTCCTTCACCTGTTCCACAAAAGTGATATGTAGAGAAATATTTCATTGTACAACTTTTTTGAGCCTGAAATAATTTCACAATGAAGCTCATATAAAAAGGTAGAAATTCCATTAAATATGAAATAAGTTTTATCGATAAAGACTTTTGAAGCAATCAATATCAATCATGGATTGTAATTATAATTTTTGAATTAGTCAATGCTTAAGTCAAATAGAAAAGTTGATTCCTATGAAGCATATTAGATGACAATATAAAAGAAATTAAGTACTACAATACAAATTATTTAAAACCCAAAACATGATTAATTTCTACATGTATATGAATTAAAAAATTAGCATCTAAGTCAACCATCACTTGTTCCAAACCTTGATAAATGTCCAATACAAATCAATGTTAAATCTCATGTTAAAAATTGACTTGAACATTCAAATATTTACCTGCAAGTTCTGGCTGTGTCTTAAGCTATTGATAACTGAGAAGTTACGGTGACTCTCACTAGACTTCTTCAGAAGTGGCTCAAGAAATGGAGCCAAGTCCTGTGTTCAAGAAAAATCTTCAAAACCATGCAAAGTTTAATTACATAACCTTTTCCAAAACATAAAACATTGCTTCATTGAACCATCTTTTAGCTACATTTGGAAAATTATATTTCAACTACTTGCATATCAAACATGTGAAAGATTCATAAGAAGATCTATAGAAAGTACCTATCCTGATAGGTAAGATTTATCTAATCAAGTTTACTAAAAAATTGGCACTTTGGAAAAGAAACTACATTTCTTTGGGTGGAAGGATAACCTTGATCAAAGCCACCTTAGCTAATCTTCTCATTTACTTTTTGTCCACATTCCGTATCCCTACAAAAATTGATGGGCAACTAGAAAAGTTGATGAGGGACTTCTTGTGGGAACTAGGGGGATGGGAAGAAGGACCACTTGGTGAAATGGGAACAGGTTAGTAAGCCTAAAGAAACGGGTGAGCTAGGAATAGGAAATTTAACCGAAAAGAATTTAGCTCTCTTAGGAAAATGGTTGTGGAGGTTTCCTTTGGAAAGTGATAGACTTTGGCACAAGGTGATTATAAGCATACATGGTCAGATGGACAAATGACTGGGAATGCAAAGGTAGCTTCCATTCCAAGGAAACTTCATTTCCCCCTGAAAAACAATTTATGAGGTATATCCTTTTTTGTGAATCTCATCCGGATGATGTGGGAAACAAGTTGAGGGTCTTGTTTTGGGAGGACTTTTGGATAGGTGCACAACCTCTAAAGGTGCAATTTCCTACACTTTATGCACTATCAAGCCAAGAGACTACAGACATTGGTGGAAGAAAGGAATCAGAGGATTTTTAGTGAAAAGAGTGGAACAGAAATGGGAAACTTTAATTTGGTGAAAATTAAAGTGGCATATTGGGTGAAGGCCTTGGAGGATTTCCAAGGTTTCTCAACAAATGACATTTTGAGAACTTGGAAGGAAGTGGCCTTATTGGCTCAAGCCAAGGAAAGGGTAAATATAGAATGAAGACCCCCAACAACCAACTTTGTTAATCTCAATTTTGATGGGAGTTATATTGGTAGTCAGGTTGTGGCGGGGCTAGGAGGGGTGGTGTTCAAAGACACGGAAGGAAAGGTCTTGGCACTATATTCAAAGCCATTAACAGATGGTAATGCATTGACAACAGAGCTGTGTGGATCACTCCACAGGTTAAAATTTGCTAAGCAATTTGGTTTCCATAATTTGGAGGTGGAAGGGCTCTTAGGTGGTCATTTTTGTAGAGACTGATTTACATCTCTTACATCTTCTTTCTTCTTTTGGCTCTTGGGAGCACATATTTATGTTGTATCTTATGTACATTATAATTTTCTGTTTTATTGTTTCTTGTAAGTAGGGGACATAACTGTCCTTTCTCATCTTTGTATACAACACATATATAAGATAAAATTGTAGAGATGTAGAGCAATTGTTAGTGCTGTTATATTGCTGTCAGTTATTTTATTTATTGTGGTCCCCACTGCTGTTGTTAGTTATTTCCTACTTTATGTTTTCTGTTAGCAATGTTAGTTATTTGCTTATGTAAGCAGTAGGGGCATTAGTGTAATTGCAGTCTTATATTTTAATGTTAATATAAATAGTTGTGAGTGGGGCGGCAACTCAAGCCAACCCACACTCTTCTCTCTTCTCTCTATTCTCTCTTTCTTCCTCTTTTCTGTTTTCTTTCTTCTTTGAATTTACATCAAGAATTGGATTGATTACAGTCCTGATTTGCCAACTTGGTATCAGTCTAGCAAGATCTGTCCATCGACTGATTCTTGGAGGTTACCGGAAGGGTTCAACAATTGTCCAAGAGTTTGTAGAAGGCTTGGAGAGTGTCTAGTAATCAGGAAGAATCAGAGAAGAACAAGAAATATCAAGATTAGGGTTCAGACTGAGATTGGAAGTGGCGATCAGTTTCTATTTTTTCTTGAGATCGATACTAGTGATAGATAAATCAGACCTGTCTGCGGTTGAGGTTTTCTCTGTTTTCTCAGAGTTTTCTCTAGGGTTTGTCCTTAACCCTATGATCAGACCTGACTGTGACCTATTTAGAAGGTGTGGCTGAGAGTTTTCCTGTTTTCTCAGAGTTTTCTTTGAGGTTTTCTCTTAACCCTACAATCAAACCTGATGGATATCAGTTTTTGGGTGAACCCTAAATCAGTTTCAGCATTCCAGTCTTGGTGAACACTAAATCAGACTATTTTCTAGGTGATTTCTGGATTGGTTTCAGTTTCCAAACCTTTTCTAGGTGGGAACCGGTTTCTCTTTTGGGGTCTTTTCTTGCTGAGAGGAAGAATAGGCATATATTGGAGGTAGCTAGAAGCATTATGCTAAACTCCAATGTTTCTATACGTTTCGGGGGGGGGGGATGCTATCCATACAGCTGTGTATCTCATCAATTGGGTTCCTTCACGAGTTCTAGATATGAAAATTCCATTCAATCTTTTATATCCCAATAAGGACTTGTTCACCATTCCTCTTAAAACCTTTGGATGTACTTGTTTTGTTTAGATTCTTGGACCTCATCGTTCCAAGTTTGATCCTAAATCTTCCAAATGCATCTTTCTTGGTTATGGACAAAATCAAAAGGGATATTGTTGCTACGAACCTACTTTTGGGAAACAGTTTGTTTCTATGGATGTCACATTCTTTGAGGATGTTCCCTACTATCATGGAGTTTCTTCTCAGGGGGAGAGTAGAGAGATGGGTTCACACCCTTTCATTCTGGTTCTCTCTTTTTCGGACTGAGTTGACATGGTATTAGAGCAGGTCTTTCAAACTTGTCTTTGATTGAAATCTGTTGTTTGGTTATTGATTAAAAAAAATCTGTTGTTTGGTTTGTGAGGTTGACTGAAGGTCTACCAAATCGACATATCTACATCAGCTTGGGAACTCTCTGGATGTTGTACTGATCAACACAAGTTTCTCATCTTTTTTTCTGGAAAATCACCATCAACCCTAGAGTTTTCTCTCTTTCTCTTGATTGACTACTTCAATCACCGTGAAACTTAAGATCTGAAGTTGCCCAAGTCAGTTTTAATTAGTTCTACAATTTATTTCTGGTTTGGATTGCATTTGAGGGGTGCTTTGCTCTCTTCCTTGTTCGACACTCCAGGAAATTTACCTTTTTTGGACTGTCATCAGTTTTCAACCTTATTCTGGCTAATCTGTAATTGGGTTTTGATCTGTCATTGTGGTGTATGATTGGACACACATCTAATATCAAGTTTTGGTTTATTTGGACTTTCAGCTACCCTATTTTTCTCGAGTTTCTTGATTTCCTTTGTTGAAGTGGCTATGGAGAAAAGGGATATTCTCCCAGTGAAGTTCAATGAGACCAACTATGCTTTCTAGAAGTTCCTTTTCCAATTCTTTGTTGAGGGAAATGGTCTATGGGGATTTGTAGATGGTTCTACAAGGCAACCTGGTGATTTTGATTCCAAAGGGATGAAACAATGGAAGATTGATAATGCCACAATTGTGTCTTGGATTCTTGGTTCCATTGAAACTAATATTGCTATTCTAATGAGAAGTTTCTAGACTACTAATGAAATGTTCACCTATATCGAAAAGGTGTATTAACAGTCCAACATTTCGATAGGAGAAATGTTGAATCTACTTCTTTATGTTGCATTAAAACTTTGAAAGAACATTTCGATAGGAGAAGGATCATGCACTTCCTAATGCATTTGAGACTTGAGTACGAAGTTATGAGGTCGAACATTCTCAGTAGGGGTATTCCATCCATACTTGACATAGTTTTGGGAGCACTTCTCAAAGAAGAAACTAGACTCATTACACAATCGACTATGGGTTCAAAATCTGGTTCTAGATTAGAGGTAGCTTTTCTGGTGAACAAGTCTAAGCCCAAGAAGGACTTGTCTCGAGTACAATGCTATGAATTTAAGGAGTACGGGCATGTCATCTCACATTGTCGGAAGAAAAATTTTTGTACTTATTGTAAGAAACATGGGCATATAATACCTGAATGTCCTACTTGGCTAGCTAAGGGAAATGTTTCAGGTTCTAAGAAGAATCAACATAAGGCCTTGCTGACAGCAATTAGAGGTGCATATATGGGGAATACCACTTCTTCAGCAGGAAATAATGAGAATTTTGGAGCTCTTACAGAAGAAAGAATGTGTTAGCTAGTATCCTCAACCATTTCCTCCGCATTTTTAGCCATCGGCTTCTTTGGTGAGTCATCCTATTATTGTTCCTCTCCCAGTCACTTGTGGATCATTGATTCCAATGCCACTAATCATATGACAGGGTCATACATTGGTCAGTTTGTTAAACCCAAGTCTTTGAATAAACATATTGTTACTGCTAATGGTGAAAAATTGGATATTGTTGGATGCAATCATTTGTCTTTGTCTACATCTGTTAATTCCTATTTTCATCTTCTTAAGACTTTATTTGGATGCTATCATTTGTCTTTGATTTCAGTTGGCCAATTAGTTGAGGATGGTACATTGTTTCATTTTCCCATGATGGTTGTTTGATACAGGACCGATACAATGGGACAGTGAAGGGGAAGGGTTATAGACTAGGTCAGTTATTTGCCTTGGAGTTCGAAAAGACACCAGAGCCTTCTTCAGTTCTTCCACATCTTGTTTTCTTACTACTACCCCTAGTTTTGAAGTTGTTTGTAGAAATAATTTGTGGCATTTTGGGCATAGGCAACTTGCTTGAGTTCATACAATGATTTCTTAAGACAACATACCATCTTAGAATCATTGCAATAACTAAGGGGTTGCTTAGTTACTAAAATTTGTTTCAAGAAATTTCTTTCAGGAAAGAGTCAGCCTAGAAAAAAGGAAAAAGAGAAGTGGGAGTGGGTGGTTACTAAAACTGTTTGAGAAGAGGATCCTATTTCATCAAAGGAGAGTGTTGGCCAAGTTGTTTTAAAGGAAAAATCAGCTTTACAACAGACATCGAGTGAAGAGAAGGGTTACATGGTTTGTCTTGAACCTAATTCAAAGCTTCTGGTGTGGTTTGGTACAACTGATAGCATTACAGGTGGAAGTAACTTATTCTTAGATAGATGCTTGTTTGTGGAGAGTTGCTCTTGATGTCTAAAGGGAAGTTACTACTATTGGTAAGGAGAGTGTTACAGAGGGGGTTCAAGTTGAAGATTGTTGTGAGCCTTGGGCGGAGTAGCAACAGAGGGAGATTGTGAGAAAACAAGTACGATTCAAAACACTTTATTAACTGAAGAGGGAGTTGAGTGGAACACTTTTTCACTAACAAGAGTTGAGTGTAGAACATGGTTCTTCTGATTTGGCTTCATCAGAGTTGGATTTGATATACATTCCTTACAAGCTACATATGAGAGCCTAGCTGAAGAAGGTGTTGTGTTGAAATTGTAGTAGGTAAGCTTGGGAAAGATTTGGGGAGAAGGAAGGAAGGTCGATGCGTCTAAAAGTGTAGAAGAAAAGAGACTACAGACATTGGTGGAATATCTGAGTTACCAAGAAGATTAAGGGGTTCTAGTTTTGGCCAGTTGGTACATGTGGCAAAAGTATTTTCATGGATCAAAGAGGGGCTTTTTGGAGCTGGTCCGTGCATCAAGCCATCAAGTATAAGAGGATGTATAAAAGAAAGAAGACCTTAGATAAAGCAAGACTTAATAGGGATAACATGGGAACTCTACTCCATGTAGGAGGTCAAGTTGATGTGCAGACGAAGGTTGCCGAGTGTTCAAAAAGGTCATAGTTGTGGGACTCATGGAGAATGGTTTAAATTGTCCCTAATTTCCCTAATATTTCCGCAGCATATTTCCATTTACAGGGTAGCAACACGAAATTTTAGCAGACTTGACATATTCCCCCAATGAACATTACTGACACTATGTGGAGTACAAGAGATAGTTTCCATGACATATTTCCATTTCCACTTCCATGGGTAGCAACATCAAATTTTACTAGAATCAGGAAATTCTCCAGTGAACACTACCAGCACTATAAAGGGTACAAGAGATAGTATTATAACAGAAGTTGGTGACAATATTGTAGATATGTGGAGTAACAATGTTATTGTCTGCCCAATTTACATGATTACCACTTTGAACTAGCTCAATATTCATTTCAAACATGAAGTTAAATATTATTTTTTGTCTATACAATAGATTATTTGATTGATTTATTACAACCATTTACATTTTCTATGAGTTTAATACGTATTCTTTTGTCTATAACCTTAGTTTCTTAGCTTTATGTAATGATTTGGAACAAAATAATAATTTAAAAAAGGTGTGCCTATGCTTCTTTTATCATTTCATAAAATATCATTCTATATGCATATTTTACAATGTTTCCACCATGTTTATAGTTTTTATAATATTTCCATACAATATTTCCAACATGATAAAGAAATGGTGAAGCAGATTTCGAACCTAGGAGTCAATGGTTTGGGATGGGTGACATGCTGAAGGATTGAATGGGGCCTATTCTTTGAAAATTAAGTTCAAAGATGAGTGCAAGCTTTTCCACTTGGCAAAGCTAAAAGTTGATAAAAGGAATTTGCACCATTTTAAATGCCTAAAGTCTAATAGGTTTGGGAATTCGAGTGGAAGACTATCAGGCAAGGAATGAAGGGGATAGGAAGAAAATTGGGGGTGGGTGATTTCCAATTGCAACAAAAATGGAGAGAAGAATGTTACAATATCGGGGAAGGAGCTTGTTGGTCCTGCGAATGTTCAAATCGCCTCAAATGCCAACTGTGCTACAGTTGCTACTCACAATTGAGAGGCTGGTTATCTGGTGTTGGATTTAGAAGTGGGGAACCATGAGGAGGTTGATGTTGTTTTGCCTTAGGAAAGCATTTTTGCTTCTCTTGAGACCTTGTCAAGTGATTCAGGGGAGGTTATCAAAGAAGCGAAAAATGAGTCGGGGGATGGGGAAAATAAAGTCATGGAAGGGTGCAACAATGTTGAAGTGGAAGAGTGAAGCTTGGCTGATGCTGCAGGTTCCAGGTTGAGAGGTCAGTTGATGGCCACCTTGTTTTTGAGGACGTGGTGGTTGGAAGGATAGGTGTGGAGTTGGGTGGGGGTCAAGAAATCTTCAAATTGTTCAATGTTCACATCACGGAAGAGTCTTTTTCTCATGTGAAGCTTAGTCTGGTGGGGGCAGGGCCTACAAAAAGTTTTAAAAAAGTGTATAAGAGAAAAGGTGTGAAGACTGAAGATGTCTGCATCGAATACTGACAAGGTTATTGGGGAAGACCCTTGGTTTTGCATCAAATCAGTTTCTCAGCTGGAGTAATTTACAGCAAGAGGAAAAAAAAAAGAAAATGCAGAAGGTCTTGAGTCTGCTGAAGGTGTGTTTGATACAAGATCAGAAAAAAAAAGTGTGGAAAGGTTAGGAAGTTTGCCTGTTGAGAAAATTGTTGATATAGAAGTAGTGGTTGGCAAGAGGTTTGGCCTGTTTTTCTAGGGTTGTGAGGGTTTTTCTAGAAGAACCTTTGAGGAGTTTGAGAGGTCAAGGAAAGAAGAAAGGCTGAAAAAAGCTGTTGTTGGGGAAGGTGGCGAGATTTGGAATGAGGATGATGAAGGACAGGAGGAAATGTTTGAGGAATATGACTAGGGAGTTGGCTTTTGCAAGGTGCTGTTTGGCTTTGGTTCAGATGGAGGTTTGGGGGAGTTTTCGAGTTTGAGGGAAAGGGAGATGTTTCAGTAGTCCTTGGATGAGTTTGATGACTTTTTGGTTTCTCAAGTCCTATTCTGAGTTTTCTGAAAGTTATGTTGTTTGCTTTTTCTGCCCTTAGTGTCTATGTTTTTCTCTCGGGTGATATCTTATCATCTTTCTTTTGTATTCGTTCGTATTCTTTCTTTTATTTTCTGTATTTTTATTTTTTATCTATAACTATTTTTAAATTTTTATTATTTAATTATGGTACCATTGGTTAACCTATTTGACCTAAATGATTAAATTTCTTAGCCACTACCAGAAAGGAAGAAAATAGTAGTATCAAATTTTTTTTTTTGATGAATACTGAGTGATTTTATTAATAGGTTAGAATCAAAAAGATACATAGAGAAAGTTACCAAGATGAGGTACGAGATGCAGCCTCAGAATAAAACACAGAATTACAGTTTAGCCCAAAATATCTGATTCCTATGCACCCCTTGTTTAGCTAGTGAATCTGCTAACCCGTTTGCTGATCTTCTTTCCTATTGGAATTGAACTGACATGTTTGTAGTTAGCCATTTGAACCTTTGTAAAGCCCCTTTATAGGACAAGGCTGCTGTTTCTGGTTCTTTTAACCACTGGATCACCAGCTTGGAATAACCTTCGATTAACAGCTGTTCACAATTCATCTCTTTGGCAAATTCAGCTCCTTGTACCACTGCTTTAATTTCTGCATTAACTGAATCCCCTACTCCTATAGGTCCAGAATATAAAGCAATGATTTGCCCGTCTGTATTTCTGAACACTCCCCCAACACCAGAAGGACCTGGATTGCCTAAGCTGCTACCATCAAAGTTGAGCTTAATGATACCCTCTTGAGGAGGTTTCCACTCTATTGACAGTTTAGGTCTCATGCTTGAACTTTTGGCAACCACTTCCCAATTTCTCCATAAATGATCAAAGGAGAAACTGAGAAAGGAGAAAATAGTTCCAAGGTTTTCACCCAATTGATTGCTCTATTAATTAAGCATTCCCATTACAAATACCTCATTCCTCTCCTTCTCATAAAAAATCCTGGCATTTCTTTCCTCCCAAACAGCCCAAACCAGTGCAGCCCTAGCACACCTCCACAAGACTCTACCTCTTTTCTTCGGCCATCTGAAGGTTGTAGGTTGAAATAGTACTATCAAAAAATTAATCCTGTCTTTCTTTTTTTAATGAATTTCCCCAAATATGAACCCCCTTAGTTCTAAACTGTCAATCTATCTCCCTCTCCGGGAAATTCCACATCATAGAGTTGAATTCCTTTGAATGGGAGGGTTCTCAACTCAAGAGGTGGCATTCTTCACCCAATTAGCTGAGAACAGTTAAGGCATATCATACATGGGCTATACTTGTATCTGCAACTTTCATCTTTTCATTTATAAAATTGTACCTATTGAAAAGCAAAGAAAGGCCAGGAAGAAAATTGTTTTCCTTCCGTGAGAAGGAATGCTCAAGCAATGAACTTTTTTACCCAGTTAACATAGATTATTGACCAAGAATGATCTGATCACCCACACAGTTGCTGGCAAGGAGATTGTCACCACTAGCAAAGATTATAGCAATGCTCCTGAGTTTGTAAATAACTCTCTTTGGTTTAATTGAGACAAGATGTCAGTAGAGGGGTCCAGGCAAGCAAGTTCAAGGATGTAGGGAAAGGAGAAGGGAGAGACAGTGTATGGCATTAAAAGCTGATCTTGTCTGGTATGGAGCATTTGATGGGGTAAGATTATTCATTGTTAGATGTTTGACGCATTAAAATATTTATTCTATATTTACAATATATAACTATATATTTATGCTAATGGAAAGAGAACCCTAAAACTTTTAACTATTTATCACATACCTGCAACTTTATCTCCCTTGGCAAGAGTTTGAGGGCTTGACCTCCATTGACCCTATCCCACCTTCGTCCCAAAAGATCTAGGGCTTCTTCAAGCATAATGAAAGCTCCTTCTTGGCTTGGTTCATCTCCCTCACCATCACTTCGCCCACTATCAGTGCCACTGGGACTGAATCGTAAGTCCTCTGCACCTTCTATCTCAGCAATTTTTTTAGCTCCACGGCCAACTTTAGCTTTGGCTGATCCAACCTTCTGGCTGCCAGTACTCTGAGCAGACACTAGATTCATGGTTTGTCGTTCAAATTCCTTTGTTGTTCTCCAAGGATTTAGATATATTTGCAGAAGTGTCAAATATATGTTACCACATGGTTTTGAAGGTTGATGTTGTCCAACATCATAAACTCGGTCGCAATATGCAAGTGCCAATTCAGGACATTGAAGCTGCAAAATTCATTACCATAAAACTTCATGTTACCAAGTGCCAATTCGACTATGATACCGAAAAAACTTGTAACAAATCAACCATTATCATAGAAGTGATAACTAATGTGGTGGTATTTCAAAGCTCTTGCGGTATCATGTCTTTCCAGAAGCATAGATTTTTTCCTTTGTTGTTACATGTGTATATTATTACACTTATATATGTATACATTGTGTCTGTGAGAACTGTAAAGTGTAAAAAAGCTATTTTCTTAAAATTTCATGGTAATATTTGACAGAGCAGCATTGCTATACAAGGAACAAAAGGATAAAAAAAAAACATATGTTGTAGGAAAATATGAGGGAAAACAGTACATAGGAAGAAAGATGGTATTATAGTAAAACCATGAATCTCTACTGTACACATCATGGATATAAATATATAAAATGGTCCCTAAACCACCAACTAAGGAACCCCCTTAAAGAGGCCATTGAACCTATAGTCAAACTGATCTAATGACCCCCATCATCAGGTTGCATAACATCTTTTGCCTAGGAGACTTTTTTATGAGGTCAGTTGGACTTGCAGTCCAAATCACTCACATCTCTCCATGTGTACGGGAAGAAAAGAAATATAACACTAATATAACCACACCTCCTGTTAATAACCTGCAAAGTAAAAGAAAAACTTAGGATCTTTCTTCATTAGAGTAGCAGGAAAACTTACATCTCTGGTATTGAAAATTTACCTTATGAACATACAAAGCCAAAGCAAGCTGATGTTGATTCATCTTCCCCAATAAAATTGCACGCTCCTCGTATAAAGCATCTGCTGGTAGGCGCTTCAACACCACCTCTGGGTTGTATCCAGATATGCCCTCTAAAGCAGATAATAGCTTCTTTCTGATGGGGGAATAGGCTTTCTCATCCCACATATGTTCAATAGTTATTTCCGCATGCCAGTCAAGTACTTCGGCAAGATAGATTAGCACCTGTAGATATTCAAAACTTCAACTAACATTCCATGAAATTGAAAGGAAAAAGAAAACAAAAGTTAGCTATTTAAACTTCTCCGCTGTCCAATTTAGACTCAGTTTGCATTTAGCTTGTCTTTCTATTTGGCTACTACCTCTGTTGTGGCATTTTCTCCTCCTGGGGTAGGTTTTTTCTTTTCTTTTCCATTTTAATTGTGCGATTTTTGCTTACATTGTTTCTTCCTCTTTCATATTGTCTGTACTTTTTATTTTGATAAGCAACCAAGAATTTAACCTGGGAATCTTGGTTACTCTGTAGGACATCAACCAATTGTTACACAGGCTCACCAATTCTAAATCTAGTCCTTGTTTTTTTTTTTGCTCCTAGAAATGGAAAATGTCATAGTTAAGAAGTTTGTAACCAGTTCATTTTGCAAATTTGTAGAGATTCTATTCTCATTCATTGACAGCATAAGCTCTAAATATGTAGCTTGCATCCTTGGTGCATTCTGCTTTAAGTATGAATTGACCAAGTCTGCTGAGAGGTTTCCAGACAAAAAGAGCTCAATTGTTTGTGCTGGACAGCTTTGAAGAACAAATGTTGAATATTCCAAAACAAGCATTGGATCAGTTGCACAAAGAGGCTGCAGAAGAAAATCCATCAAAATCGAGTTAGATCCAGCTTCTCATATTCATTTTCTATTATTGTTAGATTGAAAAATGTAAATTCCTCAAGAAGTTACTCAGCAAAATAAATGATTAATAATAGGTATGAACTAGGAAGCGAAATCAAAATATGTTGAGCAGCTCATAATTTCAAGACTTTTGGCATCATTTGGTACTTGAAAATATTTACAAACATGTTTGTAGAACTGGTGGGAATGCCTATTTGATTAGATAATAATTTCAAAATATGTAGAGTGGACATGATTTGAATTGGTTGTAGCCAATTCACTGACAGGATGTGGTGCTACCATGATTTTTAGGTTATTTAAAATTTAAACTTATTTCTATGATTTTCAGGAGTACTTTGATCATTTTATATGTTTTTACTTGAACCAAACTTTTTTTTTGATGAGTCACTAGAAGAATGGTTGAGACTGACAACTCAAGTCTTTAGTTGTCAATGTATAATAGACTTTTGTTGATAAATTAAAATGTTATAGTTTCTCCTAGAGATCTTAGAATTTCTTGGATTAGCATTCTGGAGGACTTCCTTAGTTTTCCCTAAGATTGAAAGGCTACCCCCCCTATATCCATTCTGATTGATGGTGGTGAAATCACAAGGTCCTTGTAGTGATTAACAAAAATTTATTTTATATCCTCTTGATTGGTGATTACCTCATCATTAATCATCATGCCAGGTATTGTGTTTGTTAGATCAACTGGTTAGGGTTATTTTTGTCTTTATGCTTCTTATTTATGAGATATAATTAGACCTTTTAGTCTTGCTTTAAGTTACATGTCCCTTAAGTAGGGGCATGATAGTCTTTGTACATATCTTGCAAACCTGTATAATAAATTGATCAGCTGGGCTGAGAACTCATTCTCTCCAGTTCGATCATTCTTTCTATAATCTTTTTCTCCTTTCTTCTTGACCTAGCACTACAATTACAGAGAAACCAAACCATTATAACATGGTACCAGAGCACTAAAAAGTGCAAAGTAAGCTGTGATTTTCTACTCTCTAGGAGATTGCGATTGGTTCATATTTGTTTTCTTTTTTTTTTTTAATTTCTGGGTTGCAGTGTAAAGAATAGATCAATAGGAGGCTACGACGACCTATTTTCTTCTACCCAGTCAACTGTTCTCACTATGAGTGACAACCCTAGTGTTCATTTGGTGGTGTGAGTCCTATTAAGCAGTTATCAAGATGGTTTTTATGATGATTGACAGTGTAGATGTTAACTGAAGCTGTATTAGGGTTTTCATGGTGAAGATGATGGCTGAATGTGATTAGGTTTCTCTCTTACATTTTTCTTTTTGCTATGTGGATTGAATAGTGCTGCATAGGTGGTAAGTAGACTCTTGTAATGCCCAGTAAATAGAAGATTTCATTTGTGGGTGTTTGTTTTTGTGAATTAGTGGTTGTATAAGTGTAGTAGTGTCGACAGTTCTGAGTGGGTCACATTATGGCAACGGCAAGAGAGAGTGGTAGTAATAAAAAACCAATTGTTATGATCTCCCCTAATTATTTGAATGTGCAAATGACATCTATCTATATATACTATTAAAAGTGTGAATGAGGGTGTGTAACTTTTGTTTCACTAAAATACCCCAATTTTTAAATTTGGTTCCTCTATAATTGTAAAGACAGAATTGCAATTTGAACAACCACTTTTCTCTTCATTCAAATCCCTCTCATTATGTCTTACATTTAAGGTATTAACTTCCATTAACATTCATTCAATCATATTCTTCACTAGAAAACCCCTATTTTTGAATTTGGTCTCTCTTTAATTGTGAGTGTACAAAATGTAATTTGAACTACTACATTTCTCCTCATTCAATTCCCTCTCATCAAGTCTTATATTATAGAAAAGTTTTGATATAAAATCTGTAAAAGAAAGAAGAGAAAGAAGACAGGAAAAGGTTTATGCTAGAAAAAAAGAGAAGAGAGAGAGAAGAGAATGGAGGAGAAGCCTAAAAAAAATCTGGCTGCCCCTTTCATTAGATTATATACTCATAAATAAAGAGTGTACAAGTACAAGTATGCCCTTGGTAAGTCAGCTACTTGTAAGAAGCTGAAAAGTCACACTTAACTTATAAACTAATAGGCCTAAGTCCCAACAACTACCTAACTAATGTAAATAAAAACAAATAAAATCAGCCCACAACTCAACACTCCCCCTCAAGTTGGGAATAAATGTCACACATTATCAATTTGCGTAAATCATGCTCCAGCTTGTTTTTTGCAACACCTTTTGTAAGAACATCAACAAGCTGCAAGTCAGATGCAACATATAGAAAGCAAACTTCTTCGGAGGTCACCCTTTCCCTTATTTATGTCTGTTCACTTCAATGTGCTTCGTCCTATCATGCTGAACTAGGTTGTAGGCAATGTTAATTGCTACTTGATTGTCATAGTATATCATCATAGGTTTTTCTGCCTCAATCCCAATCTCCCTAACAAGGAACGGATCCAGAGGAGCTCTAAAATACCATGTGCCATGGCTTTGTGTTCAGCCTCTACACTTGACCTTGCCACAACAAGAGTGCAAACTTTTGATGTAGATCTCCTATCATTTAGACATTCTGCCCAATCAACATCTGTGTAAGCCCCTAACTTCAATTGTCCATGGTCAGCAAACAATATGCCTCCACCTGGGTGTCCCTTAAAATAGGAAAGTGTCCTATCAATAGCCTCCTAGTGTTGAACTCGTGGGGCATGCATGTTTTGACTCACCACACTCACTGCATAAGAGATGTCCGGTTGTGTCATACACAAGTATAGCAACTGTTCCACTAATCTCTGATTCCTCCCGACACCCTTCACTAGTTCACCTTCTGAAGCATTTATCTTGTGGTTCTGATCAATAGGTGTATCATCTGCCTTTGCCCCAAGTTTCCCTGTTTCTTGTAAATCTAGAACATACTTTGTCTGTGAGATGAAGATCCAATGCATTGGACCTACCTCAATGCCTAGAAAGTACTTCAGCTCCCCAAGATCCTTAATTTCAATCAGATTCTTCTTCAAGGTATCAATCTCACTCAAATCATTTCTTGTAACTACAATGCCATCCACATACACTATCAAAACTAACACCTGTGACCCCTCCTCTTCACAGAGTGTGATCAGATTGAGTTTGAGTATAGCCAAATACAACCAATGCACTTTTAAACCTGTCAAACCAAGCTCTGGGTGATTGCTTCAAACCATATAGAGACTTCTTCAACCTGCATACCTTTCCCTTTTCCACATCATTGTAGAAATCAGCTAGAATATCCATATACACCTCCTCTTGCAAATCCCCATTGAGAAAAGCATTATTCACATCAAGTTGGAAGAGTGATCAAGAGTATGTACCTGCTAGAGATAGAAGAATCCGAAATGAGTTCATCTTTGCCACTGGTGCAGAAGTTTCCAAGTAATCTATGCCATAAGTCTGAGTGTACCCTTTCGCAACCAGCCTCGCCTTATACCTTTCTATACTCCCATTAGCCTTGTATTTCACTGTATAAACCCATCTGCATCCAATTGTCTCCTTGCCTTTTGGTAGATCCACAATCTCCCATGTCTGATTTTTAATCAAAGCTTTCATGTCCTCTTGCATAGGTGCTTTCCACTCAGGTTTGAAGAGAGCCTCACTAACACCCTTGGGTATAGAGTCTATAGACATAGAGTCGAGGGAGGAAAGGAAGGCTTGGTAGTAAGCAAATAATCCATTGCAGGAAAGATAGTGTGAGATGCAATGAGCAATACACTTTCTATTCCCTTTTTTGAATGCAATAGGAAGATCAAGGTCATCTGCAATGGGGTTAGGAGCAAGGGTAGTAGTATCAATAGGAACTAAACCATTAGAGGAAGCAAGGGCATACCTGGGTTAGTGTCAGTCGAACCTAGAATCTCCAATGAGCCGATAGGGAGTTATATGGGTTCCTCTACTGTGGAATCAACCTCCTTGTGCAGTCGTAGGTGCTATCGTGTAAAACACTGAGAAACATGACGTAAGGGAGGTGGTAAGGTGGGTGAAATAGGTGGGTCAGACACTAGAGTGGATAAGGGGGTTGGAACCGGAAGTGGTATAGATTGTTCACTTCCTTCCCCAAAACATGCCCCCTGAGAAACCCTCTACAGAAAAAGATGTGGACTCAAAAAAGGTGACATCCATAGTAACATACGGACTCCCGAAGACTGGGTCATAGCAACAATACCCCTTCTAATTTCCTGCATACCCAAGGAAGACACACTTCTTCGCCTTAGGGTCCAACTTCGAGCGGTGAAGACCAAGAACATGGACAAAGCATACACATCCAAACACCCTTAGAGGAATATGGAGCATCTCCCCCTCGGGAAAAAGAAGGCTGAACAGAGTGCTATATCCAAGAACACGGGAAACTACATCACCCCCAAAACGAACTATAACAGTAGAGCTCAACATCATGCTTCTTGCAACTTCCACAACATGTCTGTTCTTCCTTTTTGCTACACCATTCTGTTGTGGAGTGTATGAACAACTGCTTTGATGGATTACTCCATGCTCTAATAGGTATGATAACATTTTTTTTTTCAAAATATTCCCTGGCATTGTTTGATCTAAACACTTTCACTCGCACCCCAAACTACGTTAGCACCATCTGATGAAATTGTTGAACCAAAGATGGTACCTCATTATGGGATCTCATCAAATATAGCCAAGAATATCGAGAATAATCATCCACAACAGAAGAAAATACTAATATCCACCCATAGAGGAAACATGATATGGTCCCCACACATCATTATGGACAATATCAAAAGCAAAAGAACATCTTTTATTACTTTCTTTAAAGGAAATGTCTACAATGCATTCCAAGCTCTCAACCTTCACACTCCAAACTGGACATACTGATAGACTTAAACAACTACGGAAACAAGAAACGCTGACCCATTGTCTTTGACTCGATACCCCTGCTGACATGATGACTCTGATGACTAAGAAGCACATTAAGAAGATAGATTCCATTCACCTCACGACCACTCCCAATCGTCCTCTTTGATTCCAGATCCTGCAAAACACAATGACTAGGAGAAAGAATCACTGAACAATTCAAATTCTTTGTCAAGCTACTAACAGATAAAAGGTTAGTACTCAGTCTAGAGACATGAAGGACAAAAGGTAGGGTAATGGTATCGGTTATCTTGACAGACCCTTTTCTAGCAATGGGAAGAATGTGATCCATTAGCCGTGGAGACTCTATCTCTACTAGAGCAGAGGTGGTATGAGGAGAAAATGGTGGAAATGTTGGTCATATGTTTTGAGGCTCCTGAGTCTATAATCCAATGAGGTACCTCCTTACTTCTAGTGGAAACATAGTTTGTAGTGGCATGTGAACTACTTGTATGTGCAAATGAAGTAAAATGGCTACCTCCTAATCCACCTGTACCCTGCTGTCTGCTTGATAATGGGTTGGAACTGACTATATCCCTCTGATTCAGAAATTGCCTATATCTCTCCAATTCAGCCCTCACTACAGTTGTTGCAACAGACTCTAGGAAAGCTGTAGTAGGGGGTCCTGGTAAGTCACCAGTCATTGCCATATTCACATTTCCCTTATTGTTTCTGAGTCGGCTAGGCACAAGGTGTGGGTAAAGCTTCCAGCAGGTATCTTTGGTATGTTTAGACTTCTTACAGTAGTCACAGATCAGATCTTTCTTGTCCTCCTTCCTAGGTTCATTTCCACCCTTGTCTCCACTTGGCTTAGGCTTCACTGTGCTAACCATAGCTAACTACTCAAGGCTTGGCTTCACATTCCTCATCATCACATATGCCCGAGAGAGAGTTACACTGTCTTTGGAAAGAATATACTGCCGCGCAATGTCATATTCAGGGTTAAGTCCAACTAGAAACTCAAAAACCCTATTCTTCTCTACCAACTTCTGATAAGTTTTTGTATCCTTGCTACTTTCCCAAACCACAATCTCCAAATCATCTATCTCCTGCCATAAGGTTTTGAGGGCTGAAAAGTAAATAACAACAAATTTATCTCCTTGCCTGTTTGCAATCACTTGGTTTTTCAACTAGTAGGCTCTAGCAACATTCTCATTCTGTGAATAGGTTTCTGCAACTCCATCCCAAATCTCCTTGGTTGTGTTAGCCCATAAAAAGTTTACTTATATGGGGCAGCATAGAATTGCACAACCAAGTCATCATCATGTAGTTCTCCTGTACCCATCAGGAGTAGTTAGTTTCAGGTTTCTTTTCCTCACCGTTGACATACCCCAATTTCTCACAAGCACCAATGGCCATCTTTGCAGATTGTAACCACTCTAAGTAGTTTGTACCATGTAACTTGATTGTAGTGATGGTCCCAACCCCGAAGAGGTCTCTAGCACCTCCTCCCTCTTGTCCCATTTCACTTCCAAGTTTGTTTTCAACTCCACAATCCTCCATAACTCCCAAAAAGGATTAGAAAATCAATTTGAAATGAAAAGAGAGGTGTTTATCTCCTTCAGAAACTTCAAACACCTTTCTGGTACCCCAGAAGCCCCTTCCTCCAAAGATTCCTTTTTCCATAAGAGCGGGAGATGAGAGAGAAGAGGCTGCTGCTCCCTCCAAAGTTCTCCAAAAAAGTTGGGACTTGAACCACCCTCTTCAGAAAAACTAGGAACCCTAAAAAACTAGAGTGCCACTTCCTAGGTCAAAACTAAAGAGTCCTACTAAATCAGGACTCTCCCCCTTTCTCCAGTTCTTCTTGATTTTGGTGGTAAACCCTAGAGCAGTTACAAGGGATTGCAAATTAACCTAAAAATCCAAGAACTGGGCTTACCTGAAGTCTTCAATCAGCCCTTTACCTCATCATGCAGTCGGCCGATCTAGGGCTGCATGATGGAGCAGCTCAAGAAACCTTTAACCTGGCTCTGATACCAAGTAGAAAAGTTTTGATAACCTGTTTTGATATAAAATTTGTAAAAGAAAGAAGAGAAAGAAGACAGGAAAAGGTTTCTGCTAGAAAGAAAGAGAAGAGAGATAGAAGAGAATGGAGGAGAAACCTAAAAAAAAAATTTGGCCGCCTTTCATTAGATTATATACTCATAAATAAAGAGCGTACAAGTATAAGTATGCCCTTGGTAAGTCGGCTACTTATAAGAAGCTGAAAAGTCACACTTAACTTAAACATAAACTAATGGGCCTAAGGCCAACAACTACCTAACTAAGTTATGTAAATAAATACAAATAAAATCGACCCATAACTCAACAATATTTATGGAACTAATTCTCATTTTTGGTTCTCATTCTTTCAAAGAAAAATAAGTGTGACAAAGAATATTTGTTTTTATTCCATATTAGAAATGAAATACAAATTTAAGACTAACCCAAAAATGGAGTTGTTTTCTTGGTGACAAGTCAACAATTCAACGTTTTGGGTTAAGTGTGTCAACTTTTGGTTTATTATTATTATAAAAATTAAAAAGATGAAAACACATAAAAGTATAAAAAATATAAAAAAAATCGTAGAAAACATTTGGGCACATCTCTACTATCGTATATTCATAATTGTTAGAGTCGGCAGTCAAGGAGTATTATGGTCTTTATACCTTATTTTCTTGAGTGGAGTTATGTCCATTATGTTTCAATTTAAGTAATATGCCTCATACTTAATTAGGGACATAAGTGTCTTTGTATCTCTGATACAAGCATATAAATAAGATCTGGTCAGCTAGGAAGATTGATCGAGTTCTCTCTAGCTGAACCAAAGGTTTTCTCTTCTCTTCCTCTTCTTCTCCTTCTACTCTCTCTCTCTTACCCTAGGACTGAAACCAGTGTAGTAGAAAGTGTTGTGAGACGGGATGATTTCATATTTTTCCTATTTTGGAGCACCCTTTTATTGTGTATCTTATGTACCATATCATTGTACAACTCTTTTATTCTTTCTTAAACTAGAGAAGGGAACAATGGTCCTTTCTCACCTATTGCATCTCATTAGTATATAATATACTTTGTGTGGGAGCAAGAAGATGGTCAAATCATGTCATGGTTGTGGAATAGTAATGAATTAAAAAAAGTGTGAATTTTATGTTTTTAGATACAATAAAGAAATATGGGACCATGCTAAGAAGCTTTATTCTGGTCAAGACAACACTATAAGAGCATATAAACTCTTTCAAGAGTACTTCAATTTGCAACAAGGAAATCAAAGTCTTGAAGAGTACTATGTTAGTATGAGGAATTTCAAAAATGAACTCAATGTCTACCACCCCTTAACCTCAGATGTAAAGTTCAATAACAACAACGGAAGTAGCTTGATGCAAGAATATAAACCTGTTAGAGCAGAGATATTGGGTGGATTTATACTCTTCTCTCTCCATTGGGTTTCCTTTGCACTTGCAGAGACAACTACTGCTTTTAATAGGTCTGCCTTAGTGGTTTGCAAGAGGGGGCATCATGGTAATAGGGGTAGAGCTCATGGAGTACGAGGAAATTGTGGTGGACCTTTATTTGGCCAAGGTAGTGGAGGCAATGGAGGTTGAGATATAGGGTGAGGTTGTGGTAGAGGGGACACAATAATGTTCCTAGGAAGTGCACATATTATGGAATGGAGTGCCAAAATGTTAACTTTTGCTATGATATGTATAGGCTAACCATGTTGTGACTAGTAATGATAAAGTAGGTGATAGTCAACAGGCTAATCAAACACCCTCAACACATGCTTTTGGGAAGGAGATGATGAGTGTTCCATGTGATGAATATGAGAGATTCCTTCAGGCTACCTCACAATAGAACACTACTACTCTTGCATATTCAGGTATGACTTGTCTGGCATCCAAACCATCCCATTAGATTATCAACTCTAAAGCTTTTGATCATAAGATTGAGACTACAGGTGTGTTGTTGTTTCTTTCTTAGTTCTCCACATCACAAACAATTACCCTATCCAATGTTTCTACCTCTCCTATTTATGGTGTTGGTAATTTCGACCTTCCGTCCTTGGTTTTATCATCTATTTTGTATGTTCCTAAATTTCTATTTAACGTTGTCTGTTAATAGATTAACTAAGTTGTTTAATTGCTCTATCACTTTTTGTTCTTCTTCTTAGATCTTTAGGATCTCGAGACAAGGATGAAGATTGGTGCAGGATGTGAAGCCGGTGATTTGTATTATCTTGATGATGGTGACTCAAACATAACACTTTAGTCCTACCTTACTCCTCTACAATGGTATTACAGGTTTGGTCATCAATCTCTCAAAGCACTTAAGTTACTTCTTCCATCATTAAGTCACTTTTCATATTTAGAATGTGAGTCATGTCAGTACAAGAAACATCATCAGTTCCTTTAGTCATAGGAAGCACCATTGGTCCAAGGAAATTGGAGAGTGAGGAAACAAACTAATAGGTAACCAAGAAGTTTTGAAAGTCTTAGCATGCTTTTAACTGCGCAAGGAAAAAATAATCAAAATAATAATAAAGAATTACCCTTTCCATGGTAATTGAGCATATAAAAAATCAAAGCAATAATATTATAAGATTCAAATTAATTATAGTTATTGAGGATTGCAAAACATCAAAAGAACATGTTTATTTAGAAGTCACCTTGAGGTACTTGATAATCATTTCAGGAGTAAATGTCTGGGTAGGTCCAGACTGTGGTTGGCATAGGCTTAATTCCTCAACCAGTTGGTTAAGAAACTTGAGAGCTTCACGGTGCAAGTTGTTGCCTTTGTATAGTTCTAACAATTCTGAATTATAGTTTCTCTTCTGTAGGAATTCTTCACATATTTTTACATCACAATAGTTGGGGCCTTTCAGAAGATCTAATGCAACTGAGGACTGCCCAGTAAGAAGAAGAGCTTGGAGGAGTGCAGTATCAAGTGCAGCTGCCATATCCCTAGCACCTGAGCTGATATGAATGTGACCATGGCTCTGATGAAGCATAAATTCTTTGTTAGAGAATGGACCCCCATCTAGAACTTAAATAAGTAATAAAATATACATCCGCATCTACTTAGTAATTTCCAAATGCATACAAGGTAATATAATGCCACACATTTATCAGATTATTAAGTTGCCACCAGAGGAAGAGGAGCATCAGAACCAATTTTCTAACAAATTATTACAATAATGATAAATGTTGGAGGCAACTACTACTTCAGGATATGGTTCTTCATATCTGTTTTGAATGGTAGCCTTTTTTATTCTAATTAATTAATGCACAATATCATACTCTATTTGAAACTACTGTGTAAGATTAGATTATTGATACACATTCTCCATATATTTCCACATCCCCTTGGATCACATGGCAATTCCAATAGATGCATCTATTGAACTAAGAAAGTCCCAAAAGGAATAAATTAAAAAGGAGTCAGATGGTAGACCTGCAGAATGCATCATCAACAAGAGAAGAATCAACTCTTTGACCAATCAAATCTTGGTTGATTTGGCTGAAATTTGGGGGTATAAAGTACACTTATAGTACTAAAATATTGTAGATTTACAGCTCAATCCGACATGGAAGTGCCATAACTGATGGCTTCAAGTTCACTGGTTTTGGGGATCTGCAAATCATGGTCAAGGCTCTAGTCAATAGGTTGAGCAATGGGCCCAACTGGCATTTATTATAATTCCTATATTTACTATTTACAGTAAAAGGCTGACTTATCTTAGTAACTTCTGATTTCTTATATTTGGCAGATTTAGAGAGTTATAGTGTCCTACTAATAAAAGAGTAACAAACAGGTCTTGTAGGGAACACAATCTATTCTATTCTATTGTTTTTTTTCCTATTATGGACTGAATAAATAATTCGTTTTCTGTTTTTACTATAGCCAACAGCTATAGTATGAAGCTATGTTTGGCTTGAAGGAAAAGATAGGGAAAGGTAAGGAAACCTATACAAGGTTTGTAAAGGTTTCCCAACCTTTCCCTTCCTTTCCCTACTTTTTCCTTCAAACCAAACACAGCCTAAGTTATTTGTGTTTTCTCTTCTATTTTCTCTTCTTTATTTGCTTGTTAATACCTGTTGATGAAACCTATTATTGTGTATCAGAAATTTTTGCTTATAATTGGTATCAGAGCAAGTTTCAGAAATTTTTGCTTATAATGGGTGGTTTTTCTAGGTTATATTTTGCTTTTTCGAAACTGGTTCAAAGGGGTCGGTTTAAGGCCCAGTTACCCTCTGAACCAGGGTCTGACCCGATACAACCCCTGGAGGGGCGTATCGTGAAGCCATTGGCATGATACGTATCGGGCGATACGGGCCGATACGTATCGATACTTTGAACCTTGTATCAGAGTACTTACTAGAGGATCTATATTTTGGTAGATCCATGGCTAGGCAGGAAGATTAACACCAAAGGCTGCAGGAGACAAGGAAAACAGTGACTAAAGAAAACTTAGAAGTGATGAGACAACAGATTAGGCATGACATACAACAACAAATTGCCAATCTTTGTGCATATTTGGAGCAATCAGGGATTTTAGGGCCTACCAATGCTAATATTGGAGGACAAAGGAACCGGCAACAACTTCAAGTATGTACCAAAGGGGAGGAATAGGTGCAAACAAGCAATAGAGACCTATCACCAACCTGTGGGAGACTTGTGATGAAGAAGAAATCTATGAGGAAGTTAGGTATTGAACTCACCAAACTCAGAAACAGCCTAGGAAAATAAATCCACATGTAAAAGTGAAAATCCCTACATTTTCTAGTGAAGAAACACCAAAGAGGTGCTAGATTGGTTTGGTGCCATGCAGAGAGTGTTTCATTATTTTTAACCTTCAAAAGACTAGTACGTTAAGTATGTGGCCATACGATTGAAGCGATATTTTTTAGCTTGCTGGCAGCAAAATGCAAAGGTCATGAGGGGTCAATTTCTGCCATTGAATTATGAAGTTTTGCTAATTCAGAAATATCAAAATTTGCACCAATGAAACAGGTCAGTTCAAGATTATACTAATGACATTTTAAGATGAAGACTAGAGTAATCCTTAGTGTGTCTAAAATGCAATCCATCCGAAGGCATCTTATGAGGCTGAAAATAAGCATCCATAACTTTGTTGAGTTGCAACCCTGCTCGACTAGACATTGGCAGTAGCAATTCAACTTGCGACCATGGTTCACAATATTGGCGAGATTTGGACAAATTTCCTCAAAATTTCAGCAATATTTCAGATTTCACCATGGTATGGTCAGATTCGGGTGGGAGTCAAGGGAAGTAAGTTCTTATAGGGTGAGTGTTTGGAAAGGAATCATGAGCTTCAATCAAGAGTTCCAGAAGTTTGGTCAAGTTTAAAGTGGGGGATGGCTCTAGAGTGAGGTTTTGGGAAGATGAGTGACTTGGGGTAGGTAAGTTGAGTGAGGTTTGCCCAAGATTCTACAAGTTGACAGACCAACAAGTTTCAATAGACCAGTGTTATGAGTATAGTTGTCTAGGTGATGCCTAGGCGGGTTCCTAGGTGACAAGGCACCCTTGGAGGCTCACCCTGCTCAGTCGCCAAGCAGTTTTGTGCACCATGTTATAAAATGCTTTTATATTTTTAATTTTTAGACATTATAATTATGAAATAGACATTATTAAACTAGAATATTCATTTTATGTGTTTATATACTAATTTCTTTTTATTATTTTCTTATTTGTTAGGGTTTAATCAACACAAACATTGTTAATGATTGTATTGAACCCATGGGTTAAAGTATCAATACACCTTTGTGTATTGACACAGGTGTTTCAGTACATATAACAATGCTCCCCCTATTTTTTATTTCTTTGGTTTTCAATTTCATTTATATATATATATATATATACACACTATTTTAAAAAGCGGGTCCCCGAAAACACTTGTAAGCAAGTGTATCGTAATGATACAATACAATGCACCCGATACGGGGCGTATCGTGTTGGAATTTTGATCCTTGATTGAATCCTCAAAGATTTAAAAACTTGAACCAATAAGCAAGGGAAGAACTTAAAATTTGTCTAATCAACACATTTTGTTCTTCCACATCTTCTTCTCCTTCCACCTTTTCTTTTCTTCTTTTCCTGTAACAAAAGTAGGGTTTCAGCCCCTATATTTTTTGAATTTTCTTTCCTTTGTTCTTTTTCTTCTCATAAAATGTTGATTCTCTAGACTTAAACATGAAATTTATACTTCTCTTATGAAAATTATGGATAATTATTAAGGAAATATGGTTATGGAACCTAGGGAACTACCCTAGGATACATGGTTTTACTTGAAAAAATTCCATCACCTAGGTGTCAAGGTGCCCCCTTGTCTCCTAGCCTTGCCTTGGCGCCTTGAAAACTGTTATGAGTGGAGAGGGGAGCAATTGGTTTGGAACCCGAAATTCAGAAGGCCTCTTTTGGACCAAGAAGTGGAAGAGTACATCATGCTTTTGGGAAAATTAGAAGGGACCAGCTTTACTAGATCTACAAAAGATGGTTTATGGTGGAGAGAATGTAAGGAAGGAAGATTCACTATTAATTCATTCTACAAGGCACTAGTAAAAGAAGGAATGGGTTCAGACCAGATAAAAGGAGTGTAGGGTAACCTAGTCCCCCGAAGGGTAGAAGTCTTGGGGATTGCATCTAGCCAGCTAGTGTTATTTGTGTAATCAGGAGGAAGAAACAATGATTCAGTTGTTCTTCTCATGCAGTGTAGCAAGCCTCATTTGGAAGTTTTTGTCCTTTTTATTTGGGATGAGTGTCACCAATGAGTCCAGTAGAGATCTTCTCCAAATGGTCAAATCTCTGTGGCAGCAAGAAAGCTAGGATTATCTGGAGCTGTGTTCCTTTTGCAGTTTGTTGGTTTATCTGGAAGGAGAGAAACAGAAGGGTTCTTGAGAACAGGTCAAAAAGCATTGGATACCTGGTAACTTCAGTGAGCAATCTGATTTCAGACTGGGTCCTTAGACTTCCAGATTTTGATCAAGTGTCCAAAGCTGATTTGTTGGAAAGATTCTGGAGTACCCTTGATTACAGCCTTGTAATGAACAATCCTTTTCAATTTGACTTCTAGTGTGTATTTGGTGTGTCAACTTGACAAGTAATGGTGTTGAGATGTAATTCCTTTATTTTTCAATTGAATGAATTTTTTCTTGATCCTTCAAAAAAAATTTCAGGTTTCACTGAAAAACTTTTAAGGTTTAAAAGTTTAGAATATTATTAGAAACTATCTGATATTTCATTAAAACCATCATAGTTTTTTTAATCTTTTCTGTTATCAGTAGTTATACTTATGCCACAGGGGCATTTTTGTCTTTGTACTTAATTTTTATCTTATTAGTTAGGTCACCCTAATATAAATAGAAGATCTGGCGCCACCAGATCAGTCAAGCTCAAGGTGCTTTTATTCAGGGGAGACAAATATTGATTAGATTTTAATAGAAAATGAATGTGTGGAGGAGATGAGAAGATCAAGTAATCAAGGCTTCTTATGTAAATTGGATCTTGAAAAGGTCTATGATATAGTGGATTGGAGTTTCTTGTTAGAGGTACTTAGAAAGTGTCTTTTTGGGGATAGATAGTGTAAATGGATTAGTGGCTGCCTTATTTCCTGTCATTATTCTATTCTAGTCAATGGGATAGTCAATGATATTTTCCTCAACCTGTAGGGGCCTAAAACAAGGTGATCCATTGTCCCCTTTCTTATTCACTTTGGTTGCTGATGTTTTTAGCAGTCTTTTATTAGAAGCAAATAGGGTTGGGTCAATAAGAGGGTGGAGAATTGGTAGAAATAGAGTTCCGATAACTCACCTTCAGTTTGTAGACAACATTATAATCTTTTGTGAGGTTTGTTACTTGGTGAAAGTGAGAAATTTGAAGAATTTGATTATTCTCTTTGAGAGTATCTCTAATTTGACTTTGAGAAGAATTGTGTGGTTGAACTAAATTTGGATGGGGAGAAATTGGAGATTATTGTTG